CGATGCTTAAGCTAGTCTTCTAATCATCAAAACTTTAAATCTAAATGCTCAAACTAAAGAGGTAATGCGAGATCTCTTACAACTCATTGGGATTTACCATTCCCAATTCTCTTCTAAAGTAAGCAAATTTCTGTTGATCGAGAGGCTTTGTCAATATGTCTGCTATCTGATATTCAGTGGGAACGAATTCTACCTTCACATCTTTCTTTTGAATATGGTCCTGAATGAAGTGATGTCGAGCATCAATATACTTGGCTCAGGCATGATGAATTGGATTCTTAGACAAACTTATTATGCTCGTGTTGTCACACAGGATTGGGATTTCCCTCAAGTTGATTCCCAAATCTTGTAGTTGTTGCTTTAACCATAGGATCTGAGCACAAGAGCTGGCAGTGGCAACATATTCTGATTTTTATAGAGGATATCACCACAGTATTTTGCTTTTTACTCGACCACGAAACAAGGCATCCTCCCAAAAATTGACATTGTCCACTGGTACTTTTCCTATATGTTTTATAGCCTCTATGATCAGTAAAAGGTTAAGAGGAGATGATGGTAGCATAATCCTATGCAAATCTGCAGAATGTCAGGTCGCGACTTCAGGAGTGTCAGGTCGCGACCTCAGGAGTGTCAGGTCGTGACTTGGCGGTCCAGGTTGCAATCTTAGAAGTTTCATGTCGCGACCTGGGAAGACAGAGATCACTTAGTTTTGACTTAGCTCCAAAACGCGTAGTTTCATAAAAAGGGAATCTTAATCGCGACCTGGGGAGGGAGAACACTCCAAACTCTTGTGTTTTGGTTCTTGTAACATTGTGGCTCCATCAATACTTTATCTTGGATCTTAGGTCCTTCTTAAATTGTCTGAAAATCCCAACAAAAAGCTTTGTAAAGACTAATAAATTACAGATTAAGACAATTATAATTAAAGAAGCAGAATTGACCTTTTTTACTCCTTAAATAGTAAAATGCAATGCGTGAATCAATATAACCAAAAAGCTATAAATGCATACATAATGAGGGTAAAAGTGTTGCAAAACATCAGAAAATACCTGAGAAAACCATATAAAGACATGGTTCTATCACCATGCCTTTAAGAATTAAGTTCAGGACAAAGTTTTGGCATCTATTTCGAGCGGAAAAGTTTTGAAGCCGCTAGAATAGATTAGTTGGATGGTGTTTGATTGATTGGCCTTAAGATAGAAGGGTGTTTTTATGTATGATGTTTTTTTGGTAACACATATTGAACAAGGTTCTAGCAGGTATTCCAACCAGGAAAGCTCTTGGGAAAAACAAGCCAAAATATATTAAGATACTAATGATCTTGAGATGAACTTCCCCCCTCCCTGTAAAGGAGTAGGGATGGATTCTTTTGTGTAGACGAACTTAAGTTTGCAAGTTACAATGTTCATTTCTTTTGGACTAATGTTCAGTGGGGAAAAAAGAAAAAAGAAAAGCTCCACAAGTTCCATTATGAATTTTCAGTATACGGCATAAATTTTTCATAAAAAATGATACGGCCAAAGGCAATTCCTTTTTGTCCATGCTTTTTCAACATATGTCAAAATATTTCAGAAGAAAAAAGCTTAAGCCAAGGATCATGATGAATAATTTTTCCAAATGTAATTACCTCTTTCATGAAAAATGAGCAGCTCTGTATATTCCCTTTTGTTCATTGTTTTTCATTAAAAACCAACAACAACATATCCCAAAAAAGCAGGATACCACTTGGGCAATTTCAGAACATGAAAAGATTTTTCACAAAAAATCACGTTATCCCCCGAATTATTTTCCGCTCATCATCGTTTTTTGCCCAAACATAATAACACCTTATCGTGAGAAAAAGTTAGCAGCTAGAGACTCCCGGGTTCAGCCTCTTTTTTTTTTCCCGTTTTTTTTTTAAATATGTGCAATTTAATGTGCTAGGAAAAGTTTCAAACATATACAGGATTCTTCCATATGCCCTTTGCATAACTTTTTTTTGGGTTTTTTTCCCCCTTTTTACATTTGAAGTCATCAAGGCCAATTTAGCTGGTGTTTGGGTAGCACCAGAAGTACTTTTGAAAAACACTTTTTTAAAAATCGAGATAAACTCCTCTACATATTTACTTTGTATACCGTAAAAGCACTTTAGGATTATGGTTTTGATTTTATCCAAACACCTTTCAAGAACTCTAGTCTTTAAACTGAACCCAAGCACCCATTAGGGAGGGGCTGAATGGGAGCCTGGGAGGCCAAATTTTAATAAGAAAGTGGAATTAAAAACTTTTAATTAATTTTTCTAATGTTTTTATCTTACATAACTTTTTATCAAAATTTTATAGGGAAAAAGACAGAAAAATGCCACTTGAACTTCATAATCCCCAAATGGTCTGTTGAATTTGAGAAATCCCAATTTGGTCTCAAGAGAGACCAAATTGGGATTATCATGTTAAAAGAAAAGACCAAATTGCCCTTCATTTTAAATATTGTTTTTAAAATATCATAACTCCCACTGCCTGGTTGGTCACCGGAGCTCCGGCTGCGGCAGTCACCGGAGATCTGGCGACCGACTGATAATTGGTCACCGGAGCTCTGTCGATCGGAAAAATCATTTTTGAAAATTTTTACAATTTCAGTATAACGGTTAACAACTTTTGTAATGCTATTAACAACTTCAGTATAGTAGTTAACAACAGGTTTTCTGGGAAATTCAACAAGCTCCGGCGACTGGAAACAATTTTTTTGAAAACTTTTACAACTTCAATATAATTGTTAACAACTTTTGTAACTTTATTAACAACTTCAATATATCAGTTAACAACAGATTTTTCGGAAAATTCAACAATTGGTCGCCAGAGCTCCGGCGGAGGAAAATAATTTTTTTGAAAATTTTTACAATTTCAGTATAACGGTTAACAACTTTTATAACCCTATTAACAACTTCAGTATAGCGGTTAACAATAGGTTTTTGAGTTTGTTAACGGCATTACTGAAGTTATAAAAATGCTACTTTTTGAATTTTCTGAAAAATCTGTTGTTAACTGCTATATCGAAGTTGTTAACCGTTATATTGAAATTGTAAAAATTTTCCAAAAAAAAAAATAGTTGTTAACGTTATATTGAAGTTGAAAATTTTTACAGCTTCAGTATAACAGTTAACAACTTTTGTGATGCTATTAACAACTTCAATATAGCAGTTAACAACAGATTTTTTGGGAAATTTAACACTTGATCGTCGGAGCTCCGATAGTCAAAAATAATTTTTTTGAAAATTTTTACAACCAACTTTTGTAATGCTATTAACAACAGGTTTTTCAAAAAATTCAAAAAGTAGCAATTTTACAACTTCAATAATGCCGTTAACAAGTTCTGTAACTCTATTAACAATTTCGGTATAGCATTTACCAATATGTTTTCTTAAAAATTAAAAAAAATGGCAATTTTACCACTTTAGCAACTATTTTTTCTCAAAAAAATTTTATAATTTCAGTATAATCGTTACTAACTTTTGTAATGTTATTAATAACTTTAGTATAATAATTAACAACAATTTTTCTGAAAAATTCAAAAAATAGTATTTTTACAATTTCAGTAATGTCGTTAACAAATTCCATAATTCTATTAACAGCTTCGATATACTCCCTCCGTTACTTATTATAAGAGACAAATAACCGAATTATGTTGATAAAAAAATAGTTAAAATTAGTTAAGAACAATCAATGTGTAAAAAGTATAATTTTTTTCCAAAAATGCCCTCATTAATAAGGAGAGAGAGTATGAGAGGGAACAATTAAATTATTAAAAGAAAGAGAAGTGGGAGGGAGAGAGAGTGTAAGTTAGAGACAATAAATATGGGCAAATAGAAAATCAACACAAAAAAGTAGAGACAACTTGTGTCTCTTATATATAGGAACATGTTATAAACATCAAATGTCTCTTATAATAAGGAACAGAGGGAGTAGCATTTAACAACAGGTTATCTTAAAAATTCAAAAAAATGGCATTTTTATAACTTTAACAATTACGTTGTTTTTTTGAAAATTTTTACAACTTCAGTATAACGGTTAACAACTTTTGTAACTTTATTAACAACTTCGATATAACAGTTAACAACAGATTTTTTGGAAAATTCAAAAAGTGGCATTTTTATAATTTCAGTAATGTCGTTAACAAACTCGAAAAACTGTAGTTAACCGCTATACTGAAATTGTTAATAGGGTTACAAAAGTTGTTAACCATTTTATTGAAATTGTAAAAATTTTCAAAAAAAGTGTTTTCCTCCGCCGGAGCTCTGACGACCAATTATTGAATTTTTTAAAAAATTTGTTGTTAATTGATATACTGAAGTTGTTAATAGTGTTACAAAAGTTGTTAACGGTTATATTGAAGTTGTAAAAATTTTCAAAAAAATTGTTTCCGGTCACCGAAATTTGTTGAATTTTCCAGAAAAGCTGTTGTTAACTGCTATACTGAAGTTGTTAATAGCATTATCAAAGTTGTTAACTGTTATACTGAAGTTGTAAAATTTTTCAAAAATTTTTTTTCCTAACCGACGGAGCTCCGGTGACCAATTGTTGGCTGATTGCTGGAGTTCCAATGACTGCCGCCGGCCAGTGGAGGCTATGGTATTTTAAAAAAAAATATTTAAAATGAAGGGCAATTTGGTCTCTTGAGACCAAATTGAAATTTCTCAAATTTAGCAGACCATTTTGGGATTATGAAATTCAAGTGGTATTTTCCTGTCTTTTTTCCAATTTTATAACTCTATTTCTCCAATTTTTTAAATCAACCTCATTAAAATTTTTCTTTCCTTCTCCCGTAATTTCTTGACACGAAACCCAGGGTAAAGAGGGGGAAAAAAACTTGGGATTAATATATTTAGTTTTCACATGCATAAATAATTGCTGGCAAAATGAACAAGAAAATATTGTACCAAAAAAACAAAAAATGAGAAACCGAGCTAAAACCCTAGACTAGAACCTTTACACGGTTACTCTTGCTTTCATACTAGCCCCCAGCGTCAACGGGAGACAAAACCTCGCTTTTCTTCTGTGCCCATCTGTCTAGCTCCGTATCCCTGTGCTTGCAGCTAGAGCTTGGGAGGTTGTCTCACCACCGCCGTTGGACTCGCCGCCAGAGCTTGCTGTCGCCATCGTCGTATGCTTCAGTCCCATCAGGTTTCGCTGTCGTCTCCTTTCTGTGAACTAACCGCTCAAACACTCCAACAATGGCGAACTCGATAGCTGCACAATTAGAAGTTATCAAATCCTTCGTACATGTCGATTCTCAGCCTTTGAAGAGGCCGTTTACCAGGCCTTCTCTTTTGTTTGATCCCAAGGAAGCGGCAGATATTGATATTGAAACCATATGGAGTATTGGGATTCAAGGTAACTGCATAGCATGAAGTGATTTGATATTTTCCAATTTGAAGATACAAACAAACGTACATACATATAGGTAGATATTCACTCAATGCGGGTCCAAGTAAAATTGCTTTGTCACAATTAATGTCTTAATAAATACTATTAGCTGCCTCTGAGCTCGTTTCTCTTGCGACCTCTCTTTGTTAAGTTCTTTGTTTTCATTCCTCTGTAAATAGTCCCAAGTAACATGCTGTGTCATAGATATTATGTAATGGCTAAGTTGAGAATTGAGACCCCACACACACACACACAGTTCGCCATTTTTTTATGTCGTAGAAAGATATGCTTGCAATTGAAGTGACTGTTTTGTGATGTACTATTTCAGGTTTAGAGGTTCTCATAAGCTCTGATGAGCGGTTTCAAAAATTCAAGGATGAATTGTTTAGCCACAGAAGTAAAGAGTTGGATAGAGAGTTGATGGGTATGGAAGAAAACAATCAAATTAATGTCTCAATTAGTTCGTACTTGAGGGTACTTTCGGGATTTTTTCTTCTACCCTCTGCTCTTAAAACCCTTGAGTATCTGATACGTAGATACAAGTAAGTAGTTTGTTTGATAAACTTATGTCTTTGTAAGAATTTTAGGATATTGATAGCCCACTTTTCTGCCATATGTTTTTTGTGATTCTGACATGGTTTACTTGGACTTTCAGAGTTCATGTATATAATACTGAGGACATAATTTTATGTGCTTTGCCTTACCATGACACACATGCATTTGTTCGAATATTACAGATACTCGATACAAGGTTAGAAATTTATGGCATAGCAAATCTATGGTTTTTTTCCTAATCTTTATATTTTATTGATAGGAGTGGGTTATGATATTTCACTATCCTTTTTATAGGAATACTAAGTGGGCGTTTCTTGATGGGGTAAAAGTCTCTGGTGCTCCTCCACCTAGAAGTGTTATAGTGCAGCAGTGTATCTGTGATAAGGGTATTTTAGATGTTTTGTGCGACTATGTGAGTACTCGTTTAATCTTTAATTGATGAATTTAATCACCTTTTGTTGTAATCAAATAACTAGTTAAGCAATGGCTGCAGGCATCTCCAAGAAAGAAGTTTCAACCTTCAAAACATGTGATCAGTTTTTGTACTGCTGTTTTCTTTGAAGTTCTGGGTACTTCTTTGACAGTTAATGATGATATTATTAAGAGGATCCTTCCTTTTGTTGTCTCTGGCCTTCATCCTGGCGTTAAGGGAGCTTTAGATCACAGGGTTTGATCCCTAATTCTTGTTCTTCATTTTTTTCCTTTTTTTTTGAAGTACTTCAGTATCGCTTGTGTGTCAACTTGGTACTTGTATGTTGTACTATTTGACAACGTGCTTTATTTTGGACTGATGTAATCCTTATTTTATGGATCCTTTTTCTATTTGGGGCATTTTCATAGTTGCCACTCTTTTGATTTCAAAAGCAGTTTGGAATATGGATCAAACAGTTGGGTCTATAAAAAAATCAGATTCATTTGTTAATTATCTTCTGAGTTCCTTTCTTGTACCCTGCTGCAACTTGTTTTCCTTGTGGGCAGTTCTTGCCCTTTTTTTTTGGGGGTGGGGGTTGAAAAATGAAGGCCTCTAAGTATTGACGTTCACGTAGTTTAGGGATTCTTTTTATGGGAAGATGATGTAGTTCCCATACTCTGATTATGGGAAGATGATCTTGGTTCCTAGATTCTGTTTGTGGGAAGATGATGGAATACTTTGATCTTAGACTGTTGTTTCATGTACTTCTATAGTTGAGACACCCGCAACTGTTTGGTCAGTCTGCCCTCCCCTATGGCTTAGACTGTGTGGCATAAGGTTATTTGCTATCTTCAATTTTTATGGGTCTATAGATTAACTTTTTCCTAGATTTTACTGATTCATTTTGGAGGCTTTGGAAGTATGATGACAAGGTCTTTTAAATATTTGGAATATTTTTTGAAATAATAAAATCAAAATCAGGCATATCGTTGTCCCCATCACCTGTGTTTTTGGATATTCTGTTTTGTCACAGTTAAATACCATTTTGCTTTCTAAAGGGTCTAAAACCGTAACTTCTTCCTATACCCCACCTTATCTTTGCTACTTGAACTAGCCTTAGGTTGCTTAAATACTAGAATCTTTGCTGAGCATATGTCCGCACCTCATTTATTGTTGGGTAGGATTGTCTGTTGGACTTATTTGTTGCACTTTGTTGGTATTTTATTGATGCTTAGTTACCTCCTTCTTTGGTAATATCATGTTAGATTTGTGCATTATCTGGCCTCTCCCAATATTTTTTTATAAAATTATTTGAACCCTTCATCCTACTTAAGAGGAATCAAGTTCTTTCACCGAAATTCTTGTTAAGCTTGCTGTCAGTTCATTCCTTTCTCCAGTAATACATATCTTGACATATGAGTTGGCTTTCAACAGTTCAGCCTTTTGAAGTTTCCATTAGTCATTAGCCTCAAATTCTAAAAGATTCTATTATATTGCTAGCTTTTTCTCCCCTTTTTGGCAGAAAAGAAAAGAAGAAATGCTAATATAGAGAGAGATGAGTTAACCTCCTTAAATACAGGGCAAAAAATATAAATGAAGTAACTTAAAAATATAAAATCGATGGCCAATGAATTGTTTTCTATCATTTTAAGGCTAAATAAAATTTTTTTAATTGCATTAGTGCTTGGGTTGCTTAACTTTTGACATATTCTAGTGTCCTGGCTACCTCTAATGTATAGTTTATTTCCTTGGGAATATATAGGCTGCTTCTTTTATGATCATTGGATTGCTAGTAAAAAAAGCTGCATTGGCTCCTAAGCTTCTAAATAGCTTGATGCGTTCAGTTGCTGAGGTTGCTTGTGAGGCGGCAAAAGGATCGACTGAACTCCAGTGGTTTCGTTTATCCCTTATTGTTTTGATCAACCTTGTTCAGGTACTTTTGTTCTTATATGCATTAGTCTTTATTTGCAATACACAAGTGCGCACGCGCTCGCACACGCACACACATATTAAAGCATCGTATAATATGAATTTTCATGTTTTAGTGATGTTTCCGTATCTTGGCATTCTAAAATGTTTACAGTATTTTTTTTTAATATTCCAACAAAATTATTTTTCTGTAGAGGAAAATCTTGCAAGACAATTTGTTCAGTAAAGAAGGTTACTTAGCTAATGAGGTTTCCTAATTCTACATAATGGGCTTGTATATCATCATCATCATCACTACTAGTACTACTATTTTTTTTCCCCTTGCCCACCAGCAAGTAGAGGAAGATCGTACTTTAAAAAGCATAAGGAAAAGTAAAGACACGATGCATATATGAATGGATTAGTTCTGAAGTCTAATCATCTTTAAGCTAATTAATGGTAGTTAATAAATTACATTTTTGTCCTAGCAACTATTAACTCTGATGTGATAAATACTTATTAGGGAAAATGTCTTGTGTATTCTTTTATATGGGTTTTAATTATTCTTATGGCACCTAGCATTTAATGTGATTGAAGTTTCTGGCAAAATGACCTTAAGCAAAATTTTGTGCTTATACTGGTCTATCAGATTGCAAAGCACAGCATTTTTGGGGTTAAACTTTTGTGGTGTGGTGCATACTAGGGTCTTATTTATCCTTACTTTGTTCTTTTGGATTGTTATCAGTCACAAAAGATCGATATTCTTCCAAAGAAGGCCACAGAAGTTTTGAAAGAGATAAGGTATCACTTCATGTTGTCAAAAGTTCTCATAGTTACTCTGCTTTGTTTTTTGTGTCATTCATGATATCTACGTTTTACCTTTTTTGTTTGAAGAAACTTGGCTGGGACGTTATTAGAATTGTCTAAAGAGTTCAATGTTGATAATTTCCTTCTGGTGCTTTTGGATTCCTTAATTGACTTAAGGTTAGGATTTTGACTACTATATTTATTTCATTGGTGCCATGTTGCATAATAGTTTGTGTTTTAACGTTAATTATCATAATTTTGCAGTTGGTCTGATGATTGTTCCCAGCAGGCTTTGATATCTATACTAGAAAAAGTGCCAATACAGAATTATGTTCATCACGTGGTTACTAAGATCCTATCAAGTTGTGTGAAGTTAACGCAAAAAGTTAGCAATTTAAAATTTTCCATGCCAGGTATGTTCTGGATCAACAATTGGTCACTGGGATCCTACTTATGTCATTGAGTGTCAATTTCCCCCTATTTAACTAATCTATTGTCCTATGTCCTGTAAGAGTGAGTTAATATTCATAATAACCATGAAGTTTAAAGCTTCTGTGAGAATTTGCATGCTAAAGTTTCTTTTAAAAGTTGCTATGTCTAAAATTGCTGTTGCAATTTTTGCTTATTATAAAGGAACTTATAAACATAAGATATTGAAATTTTATTATTATTGTTGTTGTTGTTGTTTGGTTTCATTTTAGTTTGTCTTTCTGTTATTGCTTAAGTGGGTGAGAATTTTAGCATTAGCATCAATGTAAAGTATCAAACTGATAAGACTCCTAGTAAGCCAACTTTGATTTACTAGAGGCCAAATAAAAGGAACTTAGTTGAAGTCTGACTTGGTCTTGTTTTATTTTATTTTTGAAATCCTTTTATTTAGGTTTATGGAGTCTGTTAGCAAAATAATAGGACTACTAGGTCAGTCATGGTCCGCCTTGTTATTCAGTTTTCCCATTCTCATCATGATCCTGAGAATGTAGGGATATTCAGTTATTTCATGTTTTTTTCAAGTGTCATTCAACTCTATGAAAATGTTAGCCTCCTTATTAGCTGACATATGAGTGAAATACAATTTGAACTCAATATTTCAGAGATTCTCTTGGGCTATTTTCTCTGCTTATGGTGAGATACTTACTGTGAGGGAGAGATTAGAGTGTTATTCCTTTTCTTTTCTGCCTTGTTAATTTTTCCAGGTATAGCACATGCCCCAAACTGTCAGAAAAGATGCATTTATAATACGTGAAGTGTTATGTAATCATAATCCGTGTAAGTTAAGTAAGGGTAGATAAGTCATTGGAGTTAGACCAGGATTTTTAGTTCTTTCCATATGGAAGTGTTGGTTGGTTGGTTAGTTGGTTACATTTTTCTTCCTTCACATAATACTGATTGTCGCATAAAATCTGCAGCACATTCTTCAAATGGGAGGTGTGGTTTGCAAAAGTAGGGCTGTAGATTAGTATATCATCAAAAAACACTAAAACAAACTTTCTTAAGTAAGGTCTGAAAATAGCATTCATAGCCCCCTGAAATGTAACAGGGGCATTGGTCAAGCCAAATGGCATGACCAGCCATTCATAATCCCTGAATGTTTTTTAAATGCTGTTTTATACACATCTTGAGGCTCCATTCAAATCTGGTGGTAACCAGCCCTTAAGTCAACCTTTGTGAACCACCTAGCCAGACTGAGCTCATCAAACAGGTCTTCCACCAAGGGAATGGGATGCTGGTTTTTTGCAGTTCTTTTATTAAGAGCATGATAGTCTATACACATGCTAGGATCCATACTTCTTAACTAGTACTATAGGTGCTGGGAAAGGAGATGAGCTGTCTTGTAAGACTCTAGTGTGAAGTAACTCAGTAACCATTTTTTCAATAATGTCTTTTTGGGCAGTAGGGTATCTATATGGCTTCACATTAATCGGGTAGTTCCTTCTTGTAAGATAATTGGGTGATTATGGCCCTCCCTTAGAGGTGGCTGCTTCCTAGGTTCTCGAAAAATGTCCTGAAAATCACTCAAAACATATTTGCTTGGGGTAGATAGGCGTCGTCAATTTGTGTAACAGTAAAACATTCCAACTCCCTGTCTTTAATGTGGACTAGTTGTAGCAAAAATTTCTGGGTTTCCTGGAGAAGGTGAGCCTTTGCAGCCTTAGGTTGAATGATCCTCCACGAATTAGGAGGATTTGCCTGAAATTTGCAGATCTGGTTGTCCTTCCAGAAGTACATAATCATCTTTTCATAATCCTAGAAAGCATTTTTTATTACTTTTGAGCCATTTGACCCCGACGACCATGTCATAGGTGTGTAAGTCCGGTATCCAAAAGTGAAATGTGAAGTCTAGCCCTTGCATCTTCCATTTGAAGTCTTTCCAAATACCATGGACTTGTAACTTTCCTCCCCTTGCTACCTGCACATGAGAAGATGGTGCAGGATCAGTCTTCCATCCGAGCCTTTTGGCAAATGACAAATCAAGAAAGTTATGGGTACTCCCATTATCAATTAAAATTTGTATTTGTCTTCTTCTCATATGGCTGTGGAGTCTCATGGAATTTGCATCATCAACCCCTGTGATAGCATGTAGTAAGATCTATGGAACTACTTCATCATCATTGCTATTAGGTTCCTCTTCTGGTTCAGCATTAGCATCTCTGTCATCCCCAATTTCAATAAAGTGGAGTCGGAGTTTCTGCCTCTGGGACATTTATGGTCCCTGGAGAATTTCTTATGGCAATAGAAGCATAGCTTTTTTGTCTATGTTCTGCCTCTTCTTCTGCGGTCAATGCTTTTTGAAGCTTCAGTATGTTTTTAGTGTTCAAAGATTGGGTCTTGGGGGTGACCGCAATACTTCTTTCCATGTTCTAGGCTCAATTTATAGTCGAGACCTCCTTATTCGGTGCAAAGGTGTAACGGGTTGGAGGTGCCACCACATTGACAGATGTTGCATACCAAAGCCCCTCATCTGGCTCTTTCTTGGTGTTTTGTCTATCTGTCATGAGTTCTTGCATGCGTGCAAGACTCTTTGCCTCACGCATGGTTCTGGGCTTAAACATTCGGATTGGGCACGCCAATTCTTCCCTTATTAAATTCAGATATGTGTCGACTAGCTGTGCTTCAAAGAACCCGAAGCTTCAAAGAACCCAACCTTCGCCGACATGAGATCAAATTCCTCATTGAAGTTTACGAGTGTACCCACGTGATGAAGTCACAGAAGGTCGCCTATAAGTGACTTATAGGCCGGTCCGAAGCAGTCCTTAAGAATGTCAACTTACTCCTCCTAGGTTGGTGGATCTGCACCCCACTGTTTCTTATTCGCCAAATGCCATTGAAATGCACGATCATCAAGGTGCAGACTTGCAATCTTGACCTTGGCTTCCGTTGGCATCTCCTCAAGTTTGAAGAACCGTTCGCATTTGAGTATCCACGTCAAGACATTACTGCGTGCGAATTTGGGGAGCTCTATTTTTGGAAACTGAGTTGCACGTTGACGCCCATTTCCATTTCCATTTGGCCGATGCCTATTCCACATCTGTTCTAAGTTGCGAAGGGCCGTATTTACCTCATCGATGTTTCCTCCGTGGTTTGAATCTGCATCGACAGATGAAAGACAGATTCTTGAAGTGTGGTAACGGTGCCTATTTGGTTTTTGACTACTTGAAGCCTCTTGTCCATTATTGGGTCGCTTGCTTTTGATTTTGATTGGGTGGTGACCATAAAGATTCAGGTACGTAGCATAGGTTTGAGTAACGGTGGTTCTGATGCCACTTCGTACATTTCTGTAATTAGAAATGCAGAAAGGAGAAAGAGAGAATCGAGAAGAATAGGAGAGGGTAGAAGGATGGAAGAGAACAGGGAGGTAGGAGAAAATGGGGAACAAAGAGAGATGGGGATAATCCTGACTTCATTAACAATGCACATTACATCTAATTTAGTCCAGAGGGTATCCTTTTATAGAAGGAAAAGGGGAAAAGAAAAATGTAACTAACTAACCAACTAACTAACACTGCCATACGGAAAGAACTAAATATCCTGGTCTAACTCCAATGACTTATCTGCCCTTACTTTACTTAAACGGATTATGATTACATAACATGAAGCTTATCCCCTTTTTTAAATTTATGCCTTTACTTTTCCTGTTGGTTTAAACTGGCCATTGCTAAAAGATTAACTCCTTGTGATCAGGATTTAATAAAGGAGTCCGAAGATAAATAACTCGTGTTGTCCTTCTTTAAGAATATAATAGATCATAATCTTAATACGTACACTGAATAATAAGATAAAGAGAGTCATCTAAGGCCTGTTTGTTTGGAATTTAAGGATGAGATTTTCAAATCATTTAGATATTTTATGATAAGTGATTTGTTTTTAGGGATTTTTTTGAAAAGAAAAAAATTATGTTTGGTTAATGATTATCCTAATAAAATCTGATTTATTTAGTGATTTGTAAATTTTATGCAATCTTTTTGTATCTCCATTTTTATCAATATTCTTGCTCATTTATTGCAGTTGATTATTTCTAGAAGTTACTCAAAAATAACTTTATGAAATAACTGAAAATCTTCTTTTTTTTTTTTGGGGGGGTTAGATTCTAATTTTTTTGAAAGCCTAGACAGACATACTTAGATTTCTTACATCTAAAAAATGCTGGAATAAATGGGGCCTTCATACTTCCTCTTGCTTTATACAGCTTAATACTTTTTTTTTAAAAAAAAAAAAAATAATTGGTCATCTAATTACCATAATTATTGTTTGCTTTCTAATTATCATAATTATTGTTTGCTTAGGAGGATGGGTGAAGAAGATTTTGATTGTTTTCAATAAAAGGTATCCATCCGAGCTACGCAGAGCAGTTAATCAATTCCTTCAGGTCTGGTGATCACCATTCTGTTCTTGCTTCTATGTTTGTACCTGTGCATGTGCATGAAATCTTTAATGCTTTTAACCTGTCTAATAGGATAACAAAGTTCGTTCTAAGAAAGATGGATCAGTGTACAAGATTTTATGTAAGATACTAGATGGGAATCTAGATTCATCACTCAATATGTCAGATTCCAAAATTTGGCTGGCCTTGCATCATCCTAAGGTATTATCTATTGACATTCTGTCTTGAAACACGAGGTTTTTTCTAATACTTCAACCGTCATTGATATGTTGGCAAGCTATTTTCTGTCATTGAATAAGCAACGTTAGAATCATTTTTGATGTGGCACAGGCTGACGTTCGATGTGCTATGTTGGCTGATTTAAATTCATCTGGCATTCTAAAATCTAAGGAAGTTGTTTCAGAGGTATTAGATCGTGAACTGTATCTCCTTTCTCTTGTCAATATTAATCTTCCAAGTTTATTATGCATGTACAGAGACCACATCTTACCTTGTTACTTGCATGGTTCTCCATTTAATTTTCTTTACTTCAGTTCAGTAAAAGTTAAAAGCTTTTCATTCTTGTTTGTTAAAAGCTAAAACAAAGCTTCAGTTAAGTTTTGTTGCCTGTTGTCTGATATGGGCTGATCATAATGAATAATGAGATGTGTCTGAGAGCCCTTTTTAAATTTGGCTTTTTGCATGACATAGTCGGTGGTAATGTATATGCTGAATTACCATCAATGGCTCATCATTTGTTAAGGCTGGGCGTGCATGTGTTGGGTTGGTTTTGACCTCCCTGGGATGACCTGACCTGGTGCCTAATTAGGTTGGGCTGGATGAGCATCGGACCAGGATTGGCTTGGTACCAGAAAGTTTTAATAAAATGATCAAAAAATTGTAAAGACAATTTCATTTACTGATAAAAAATATGATTACTTTCACACAGAATATATTTTCTTGGAAAATAATGACAATGATTTTGTCAAAAGTAACACTTTTTAAAATTATGAATACTTATCAATCATCAATATCAATTACACCGTGTTTACATGATATTGTTTAAAAAATCAATTTAAAGTTTTAAGTTAAATTGACGATTAAAATCGTAAAAAGTCTTCATAACAATCATAAAATCAATTTCTTACATGAGATGTATCAAGAAAAACGATTTTATAAAGTAATCAATATTTATAGAAAAGTAACAATGTATTGGCCCGAGCAATACAAATAGAATTGCTACATCGACTAATGGATTAGGTTACCTTTTGTCTGTCCCTATGAAAAGTGACGGGCAAACAAGCTTTTGAAAGAATCCTTCTTTGATATCTTAACGCAAACTAAATTTCAGCAAACGGCTTGCAGTCCCTGAGGCTTTAACGGAATTTAAAAAGTTTGCCCAGGGAATTGGGCAAAAGCAAATCTTACTGAAGAATTCAACTAGATGATTAATCTGTGCCTAATGTATTAGCAATGTAATGAAATTGAGATCTGAAGTATTTTTTTAAACAAAATAAGCTGCTTTTGGAAGTTCCTCTTGTTTGCAGTTTGGATAAGGCTTTTGATAGGGTCCTTTACTAGTCAACAGAGAATTAACACAGAAGTATACGAAGTGTTATGAAATAACACTAGATAATACTCTTTCGTTCAACATGAAAGTGATATTAATCCATAATACAATAACTAACACTTAAACAACAACATTAAAACTAGATTAAAATGGATTCCGTGACAGGAGCTAGCATATCAGAGGCTGGCCCTCGCCCTCTTTCCATTTTTTCAAACGCTTATGCTTTTAGCCCCCAGGTAACCCACAAATAGGTCTGTTATTTTCTCTTCTCACTCCCTCAGGTCATTATTCCTTGTCAGAAGTATATGGTCAGTTATTTGTTGAAATTTCCTACTCAGTTTTTCCAGCCACCTTATGATCCTTTACTTTTCTGGAATAAAATTTAATTGCTGGTTGACTCTCTTCTATCCCTCTCTTTTCTTGATCATCACATTTTTTAAGTGTGTTGTTCACAGCTGGGTGGTGATCCAATTTGCTTGGATCTTGAGTTGACAATATTAGTTGTTCTATGCTTTGAGAAAATATTCATTTATGCTCTCTGTCATTCTGTGCATGTGCATGTGAGATGGATGTCTTTTAGGCCTTCAATGATTTTTTTCATAATATTTTCGTTTTGATCAGAGTCTTGTAGACATTCAAGAGGCCTTATTGAGACAACTCAATGATAAAGACCTGACAGTTGTTCGAGCAGCTTTATCTGTTAATGGACTGCCAGATGTAATAGGTTCTCCTGAGCTTTTTGATGCACTTCAGAAAGTGCTAAGAAGATGCATTGACAAGCTGCTATTGGGTAAGTATGCTATATATTAGAAATTTGACCTCTGTTTCTTAATCTTATATTTTAATAACTTAAGGTTTTCAAACAATAGCATGAAAATTTCAATTTTTCATAGAATACTTGTCAAAAAATGATACATTTTGAGGCAGAGGAAATAAATGGTGAATAGTCATTTCATTTTGATAGAAAAAGAAACTATTAGAGAGGAAGATATGTGTGGCTGGAGAACAAATGATCACATTCCCATGACAGAAGTCCACCTAAATCAGCCTTGATCATAAGCCGAATACCAAGGGAGACAAGAGAGAAAATCTTGTCTTATAAGGTATCTCGAGACAGTAAAACTCTATCAAAGAGTCAGGGGCATGTTCGAATATTAGTTGCCAACACAATTTCATAACTTTCAAGAAAAAAGCAACACGTATGCTTGTTTGGTGAAAGCATGGTTCTGGGCCATTCAAACACTGCACCAAACATATTCTTAAGCATTGTGTTTTTTAAACCCATGCTCACCAAAGCCCTGTGAAAACTTGGCATTTCCTCAGAACTATAGCATCTTTGTCATGACCAAGTCTCTACTGGGTCAGTAGAAAACTGATCAAAATCCTCCAGCTGCACCTAGTTTTTTATTGTGGAAAAATACCAAGCAGATTATTCCTTAGTAGAGATTGTTGAAATGAGGGAGCTGTTTCAACGTTAGTCTCACAAATAAGACAAATAATAAAGGGTTGTGCCTTATGTGTCATTATTATTATATTGCTGTTACCTTTGAGAAGTATATTTCCAGACAAGAACTGCTACCAATATTCACCTTTGGATGAGGTGGAAGATGGCTTCTTGGAAGCATGTGTGGTGAGTTTTTTAAAGCTAAAGTTGCTTGCTTGGATTTTTCCAGTAACAGCTTCTTGAAGTGCTGATATCACAATTTAAAGTTTCACAAGTATTGCATTCCTAAGAGCTGAAGTCTAGTGCAGTAGTGGCAAGGAAATTGAGAATTTTCAGTAGTTGTGTTGTCCATCACGTATGATTTACATATCCTGTTTTCCTTACTTGCAGGTTCAGCTGAAAATGTTAGTTTAACCAGTGATGTTGCTATCAGTTGCCTCAAAATTGCCATCTCATACTGTCATGGTCATACTGATCATATGAAAAGAACAGCTGCCATGATATTTCCATTGCTTCTTGCTCTGCCTCAGGTTCTTTTTGACTTGGACTTGATTTCAGATTTAATAGCTTTCTGCCAACCTGGTGTTTGCCCAAGTTTAAGCTTTGAGATTCTTCCTTGTCTGGTTCATCATCACATTAATCAGTTTCCTTGCATTGCACAGACCCAAAGCTTGAATTTGAAGGCTATGAGACTGGTTAATGAAATAAACTGGCCCCTTTATCAGACTCTTGCTGTTGCACCTGATGGAGAATTGGTACAAGTTATTCATGGGTGATGCAGTTTTCATTATTTTTCTTTGACGTGTTTATCTTATATGAAGTGTAAACCTTTGGTGAAAATGGCAAGTATGATGTTGAGGATTATAATAAAATTGATGATGGATTTTCATCTACCAACCCAAGCTTTTGGAGTAGAAATAGTTGTCATAATGGTATTAAAGCTTCTTTGACCAAGGGGTCAAGAGTTTGATCCCGCATAATTAATTTGTGCACAACCCATGCTAGGTTTCTTTCTGTGTCTAAGCGTCAAGTCCTGTGGGCTTTGTATATGAATGTGTTCGAGATATATTAAAACCATTTCTGGTCGTCTAAGATTTTAGGCTTGGGAGTTGAACTGGTCCATGACATGGTTCCAGAACCTTTATGAACTGGTCAATAATATGATCTTTGCCAATTATATGAACATTGTAGGTTTTGGTATAGCACACCTGTGCTTTATTACCGTCAGGATCCCAAAAGATTTCAGTGGGTGATTGTCATGTTAGAAGAGATCATGACAAAACTATTCTGACTTTCAGCAAACAATTTTAGCTTGGGAGATGAAATTGCCCTTAATATGTTAGAAATTCTATGAAAACCATTTTTGGTCTTTCTCCTAATGGATCTTGGCAACTGTCAAACTGTCATTTCTCGTATTAGTCCAGGTGAACTAAAGAGCCAGTAAATTTATTGTGATTTGTGAGATCCTGTCTCTAGTATCGGAACAAGACTCATAATCATGCACATTTACTTGTAAAGAAATCATTAAATACACAACAGATTACTAATAGTTCCAATCTTCGCTTGCATGTAGATAAATTGGGGGAATTGCATCGGTAAAGGTGTTTTCTTTCCATAAATGTCAGAATTTTTCTCTTTCACATTTTCCTTATTGATACTGTGTTGTTTTCTTGTCCTTGCCAAAACATTTTAACAGGAGCTATATAGACTTGAAAAGTAGCCAGTTACCTTGCGCTTTTGTCGTGATTTATCCTCTTAATAAATTCTTTTGTGGTGATTTATCCTCTTGATAAATTTGAGGCATAGGCTTGGAGGGAGCTTGCTGTTGGACATCATTCTTGTTGCCCCTGGCTGACACTTATCAGAGGAAATTAAAATGAATCATGACTATATAAGATTCTGCCATGATGAAACCATCAGAATAAAATGAAATTGTGGCCAAATGCATTTCCAGTAGTAATTGTTATTTCGAATCCTTTTGGAGGATTTAGTAAGTGCCTTCTCGTAGTTGTGAGTGATTTAATCTAGCAGAGGTGTAGTGGTCTGAACATTTTGAGCTAAGTTGGAAAGTATTTATTTATGGTGAAGAAGAAGCATCTGAATCTTGAACCTAATCATCAGATCTTAAATGTGATTTACTTCTGTACTGCCTATGTGGTTTGTTGGATTTCCTCTTATAATAGAATTGTGTTTTTGATTGCAAAGTAGGCCATCGGCTAGTAAAATCTGACAGGATTCAACTAATACCACTCTTCTAGAAAAAATACCCACGCCAATGTTACTCAGGAGCATAAATATCACTATTTTCATGATAAATGATTTATAATAGGAAAAATGTGCTAGATGGATGAGTTTTAGCACAAGGCCTTTCTGGTATTTTATTTGGAATTGTTATTTGATTTCAGAATTGTTGATCAACGTGATTATGTTTCTGTTGTTTGAAATGAGTTTCCTTTCACATTACTGACTATGAAGATGTAATTGCAGACTGTTTCTGGAAGTTTATCTTCGATTAACCTGAAGACCATCAACATCATGGCTGAGAATTTCAGGATCTACCCTGAAGACCATATTACTTGGTTTGTTGAAAACTGCAGTGATTTGGAATTGTCGAAGACGCTCTTCTTTTTGATGTTATTTCAGGCTCTAGTGTTAAAACCAAGCAGTGAGTTTCTCCCTCACTTTTTCTATGCGCTACTTTATAGTTTCCAATTTTTCTGAAACATTCACTGCTTGTCAACAAGGAGTGTTAAGATTAAGCAAATAACAATATAACATGAGAAGTTAATTGAATGATTTATAGATGCTGAATATGGACTTTTTTTTCGTTTTTGGCTTAGGTGATGACTTTCCTGCAATTTTTGAAAATGTATTTCCTATGTTAAAGGCTGAGTGGGAATCATTAGTGTCTGCAGGCGATTTTATGTTGGAAGAGGTAGAATGAATTTATGATTTTAGTGTATTTATCTAAGTGGTTATCGGACATAAATACTAATTTGTTTTTTGGGTTGGTTGGTGTTTAATTTACAGTTCAATTCTGAAATTCTGGACTGGGACTGCAGTTCAATTCTAAAGTTCTTGGATACTGATCTCAAATCTCTGAATGCAAAACTTATTGTTTGCATATTTTGGAAGTTGGTTGCTGCACTGATGTTAGCAATGCCGTCTGACATTTTACGGGTTTGTAGTTCCTTATTTCATTTTTTGCCTGTGGGGGAGACTGGAGAGTTCTCCGCTGAATTTTCTGTGTGTTTACTTAATTGTAACCATGCCTATGAGACAGGATGATAACGATAAGTGGGTCAGCTGGACTAAGGATCTGTTTGTATGTTTTGCTGCCTCAAAATTCAAGCATGCTTTTCATGAACATCTCCGTTACTTGGTGGCTCAATGCAAGATATCACCTCCCTGCCTCTTATCCAAGTTTTTCACGGAGGAAGGTACTTTTCACTTGATCCTGTTGGAATCATACTTCATGAGCTTGGACAGTAATCTACCAACTGATGCCTTTTGACTTGTTGACATGATTGCTTTCATTTGAATGTTGTGGAATATGAAACTCACTTTTCTTTCGTTTAGGACTTTTCCCCATTTTTGTACCTGAGGAGTAATTGATTGCCTTTAATTACTAGTAATCACTGATTGGTATCTCCACAATTGCTAATTCCTGTAACTTCTGTAGTTGAAAATTAGGTCTTGAATAGAATTGTTTTGGCATGTTCAAATTGGTGATTCCAAAATTTTGAATTACTACTGGGCCTTGATTTGCTGTCACACTGTTCAGTTCCAACTTCTCATTTTTATCTTCTTTTTTCCTGTTTCAAATATTTTTTTGGTTTGACAACTGGTCATCAAGTGGAATCAGTCTAAGCTGCCTTCCACAGACTTAGCAGAGTCTGATTTTTATTTGCATTATGGTTTGACGTATATAAACTTCACTGATTGTTCGTGGATCAATGTCTCTAGAACGCCTTTGCATGTGTATTTAAAATGTCTTTACATACACACCCATTCAAAGCTAATATCTCATTTAGATTCATTCTCTTTAATTTTTTGTGGTGGTTTTTCTGGTTTAGTGAAATCTCTGTTTGGGTTTATTCTCTTGGTTGTTATATATGGTCATGGCTTTTTTAATGCCAATATGGTCATGGTTGTATTCCTGAAAAAATTTTTCATCTAGTTAATCTTTTGCTGGTCTTGTCATTCTGTAGGTGTTCCTGTTGAAGTCCAAGTTGAAAGCCTTCGGTGCTTTGCATTTCTTTGTAGCCTGTCACTAGAAAGATGTCAATTTGAACTTCTAGCTGAGTTTCCTTCAGTTCTGGTTCCATTGGCTAGTGATAACCAGGTATGAGTTTTCCACCATAGTGCCAAACATTTTGAGGTGCTTTTCCTTTTTCTACCCTCCTTTGTTTTTCATTCTGAAAATACATGGTCATCAACAATTGTTTTCTTCCATATTGTAATTTCAGAAGCCTATGACACTTCCACTTGTGCTATTCTTTTTCCGTGTGCTTCTCTCTTGCAACAAAATGGAATTGGCCAAATCGATTAATTTGCATTGTCCGTCTTTTTTAGGATACAAGGATTGCGGCCATGAACTGCATTGATGGGCTATGTGTATTATGGTCTCATCTTGAACGTTCTGGAAGGAGAAATGGTACTGTACCATCAAAATAATTGGATTCTGCCCTACATGTCAAATGTTACCTTGTTATTTTACTAATTTTTTTTAACTGGCGAAAACAGGGAGCAATGCAACATGGAGCCATTTTCTGGGTGAACTTTTGGGGTTGATAGATCAGCAAAAAACACTAATATTGTCTGATGAGAGATTTCTTCCTTCAATGTTTGCATCTATGCTGGGCTCAACCTGTCACAACATCTTGGTACCCCAAAATATTGAGAACAGGTATGATATGGTGCAGATTCGGTAAGAGAGAAATAAGAAAGGAAAATCTTTATTGAACTGTGAGATAAGAATCTAATTTCACAAATTAATAAAGATGAAGGAAAATCTTCATTAGAATGAGTAAGAATTTTAGCTCATAACTAATAAAGCCTTGGAGAATCTCCACTCATAAAACAAATAGTGATTATACAGATGACATTTACATGCATTGACCCTCAATATTTATAAACAGAAAAATAACTATGACTCCTTAAAATTTAGGCTAACACATGATTTAGGAAAATAACAATAAAAATATTTAAAATGAAATATCTGACTCAGTAAATAATCCTAACAGACTCCCCTAGCTCCTAAATTTGTGCTTCACTTCACCTGACCACCAAGACTACTACTAAACCCACTAAAATAAATATTAATGAAATAAAATCTGGTTCACAGATTAGCCGCTCGTTTGGTACTCTATCAAGAGTATTTTTATAATGCTACCATAATTATGTATTTGTCTAATGGGAGGCTGACGGGAGACCGCGGGAGACCAAGTTGGATAGGGTTATTTTGTTTCTCCCTATGGTGATAGGATCTGATCAGCTTTACATTCAATGTATAATGCATTGTTGGTCATTTTTCTTTTTCTTATCAAATAATTGGTCGAACTTGCTAATTTTGTTAAATAATTGGTTGAATTTGCTAATTTTCATTTTCCGTCTGTGCCTGAATTTTTCCTTTCAGATTTGATCAGCCTACAAGGGAAAAAATTCTTGGCTTCATTTTGGGTTCTGCTTTGAAACTTTCAAACTATGGCAAGGTCTGCTGTCTTTTCTAAACTGTTTCCTTCTCTGCTTTTACATGTAAGATTTGTGTTCTTGATCAAACTTCCATATCTTCAAAAAATTTTTTTACTATCATGCGTATTGCTTTCACATAATCTTAGAAAGGACGTTTATATTTGTACCGTGGTGCTTCTTGCAGCTGAAGATTTTATCCTTGCTCAAGGGAATTGGAAAGGGCATTGTGTGTGTTAAAGAAGTTGTGTCTCTGTTGTCCTTGCTCTTGCATAGGCGGAATCAGTGCTTTAATGTGCTAGATGAGTTCTCTCAGAAATTGTCAAGCATTGAAATTGAAATGCTATGCCTATTACTTGAAGTAAGTATATCCAGTTGTTTTTGGCTGAGGGCATCTTTCCAATATAGGATTTGAAGTGTACTAATTTCTACTATTGTGGTAGAGTTGTGTTATGTCCTCTTCCTCGGGGGGAAATGATTTTGAAGGTCATTTATTGACAGCTTTGCGGGTAAGCAATATAGTATTTCTACGTTAGGTCGTTTTGTCATCTTTGATGTGCTTACACGCTCTGGCTGCTGTCTTGGCCAGTTGGATTCTACTAGTTCTGGTCACCCTGCCTATGTACAGCCCTGTTTAACCATTCTAAGGAAACTAAGTCGTCAATTCTATGGGGGATTGAAGAATGAAGTAAAGGTATCAGGGGACCCATTTCCTTTCCAAATGATATCATTCCCTTCATAATAACTTGATCAATTTAGGCCCATGTTAAAGCAGATCACATTTGTTCTCCTCGCTTGATGCATTAAATTTCTGACAATGAACTTTCTTATTTTTTACAGGAGCATTTGTTTCATGAGCTTCTGTTTCTGTGCTGTAATGCTAATGGTGAAGTACAAAGTTCTGCCAGAGAGGCCATATTGCGCATAGATGTAAGTTCCTTTCTCATATTTTTTAATTTTACGGATCTTCTGTTCAATTTAGTGCATCTTTTATTATCTGTTGGTTAGTGTGTTGTATCTATTTTGCTGTTGCTTGCCAGTATGATGCAGAACAGTTTATGGGAGCATCTGACATTCAAATAATGAACTCAAGTGGTTGCCAAAGAGACGTTTTTTTCCTGATGGACAATATTTTTGCAGAATTTAAGAACTTAAGTTTTATGCCTGTGCCATAAGATGTATAATCAGTTTGGTAAATTGGAATCAATGGTATCCTGGTTTGCATGCACAGAAATGCTCATTTGTGCGTGCATTATGAAGTATGATTACAAGAACGTACACATTTTTAATGTGGGTTTATTTGAAAATGGGGACTTTTTTCTTTTAAAACTGTTCTATAGCCAGCAGTGATTTGAGGGAGCATGTGGTTAATATTATAAATATTTAGGTACTAGGTTCCCTTTTTAATGTAGTGTTATAATTCTTCAGCTTATCCATTTCACCTTCTAAATTATAGAAGTTCTGTAGGAGAATAAGTGAAAGATTAACTGGTGGTCAATGGTTTTATCTCTTGGAATTGCAGATTAGTTTCTCAACATTTGGCGACATGCTTGATATCATACTTGAAAGGGGAAGTTGCATAAATATCTCAGAATCCAAGAAGAAAAAGAAACTAAGTGTGCATGCAGGGGATAACATATTTAGAAGGGAGAAATCTTTCTATATCCTTAGTTCTCTTCTTGATGTTTTATTATTGAAGAAAGACATAACGAAGAGGTTAGAAGATAATTGCTATTTCTGGATCAACAAAATAAATAGCATATTTGATTGTGCTAACTATTAACTTTGATGGCTGCAGGCATATGCTCATAAGCCCCTTATTTAAGCTTCTTAGTAGGATTCTTTCTGAGGAGTGGTTGAATGATGCTCTTTTCCAGGAGAAGGGCTTGACCCAGCCTTCATTAAGTGAGGCCAACCGTAATGCCATATGTCATGTTCAACAGACTTTGTTGATAATCCTTGAGGATATAATCACATCCCTTGGTAGCACTGCTCCGTTGAAGGTTCATTTTTATTCTAGATGCTTGAAATTTCAAGATATCTTACAGGTTATTTGGTGAACTTGCTTTTGCCTAATTCAAATTTATTTTGCTATTTTTGTTCTCAGGAAAATATAACAAATGAAATTAACTTCAATGTCCTGATAGTGTGCGCCCATTCTTCAAAGGATGTAGTCACCCGTAACCATGTATTTTCTCTGCTTTCTGCTGTTGCGAAAGCTTTTCCTGAAGAAGTTTTTGGGCATATACTTGATATTGTTGCTGTTGTTGGAGAATCAACTATCACACAGGTTTGTTAATATATGATTAAAGCAGCTTTGAAAGTTGGAGTAACAGTGATGAGTGTGCTTGTATTTTGGTTACCTCTTTAAAATTGATTATATAAGCGATACAGGGGACGGGAGAATCATAGATTGAATTTTTGGTATTCTATATCTTTAAATTATAAGCCAGATTATAAGCGATACTTGATATTAAGGACATTTTATTAGAATTGATTGAGGTGGGGGAAGTTTGAGCCTGATAGAAAAGGCCTGTCCAATGCCAAAATTCTTTCCTCCATTTTTTGTTTTCCTTTTACTAAAACCTTCATATCAGATTTATTATAGCCAATATGAGAGTGGGGGGTCTTAATTGTAAGGAGAGAGACACTATCACGGAATAGGATGACAAAAAAGATGACATGTTTTGCCTAATTATATCAAAACAACGTACATTTTCTAAAATTATACGCAAATAATTGAGTAAAATTTAAAGACACGTTTTAGATGGATTGATTTCTCAGTATTCTATTTCTTCAAATACATTGTATTTTCACTGACACAACTGAACAGTGCGGACATGCAGTAAGGGCTTTCAAATATGTTTATATGATAACATACTCAGATGGGTGAGGCTAGGGTTTGGATCTTATAAAAAGTGTATGCTTGGCCTGTTCAATATATGGATCCTTCAGGCTCATATATCATTTTTATTTTTCATTTCATTTCATTTGATTTGATTTTATTTTTTTTGGTTTGTTTGGATTGGGTGGGTTTTGCGCCATGATCTGGTCTAGTTCAATATATCATCTGTATTCTCACTATTTGGCTATTATCTGTAGATTGACGGTCATTCAAAGCATGTTTTTGAGGATCTTATATCTGCCATTGTTCCTTGTTGGCTGTCTAAGACTGACGATGTTAAAGCATTACTGAAGGTAGTTATTCCTTGATACATGTTGGTTCCAAATGAATGGAAGCAATTCTAAGCATATCAATATTTTAATATTGTTTTCTCCCTACAGATTTTCATGGATACGTTGCCCGAAGTTGTTGAGCATAGAAGATTGTCAACTGTATTATACTTGTTAAGGTAAAGTACTTTTTATGCTATACTTCACTTTTATTAACTTTGTTTATCCGTTCACGAGCTACATGTAACCATGCTCCAACTTTACAGAACTTTGGGTGAGGATAAAAGCTTTGCTTCATTGCTTGTCCTGCTTTTCCATTCATTAGTTTCAAGGGAACAAACTACTTTGCTTAATATCAAGGCTCTGGATGCATTGACATTTTATACAAGAGAGTGGGAGTATAAACTTGCGGTGCAGATATGTGAACAATACACAAGTCCGACGTGGGTTCCTGCTTTAGTTATGCTGCTTCAACAATTGGGAAATGAACCTCTAGAGTTGTTTCTTGCAATGCAGTTTACTTTGCACAAATTGCAAGATCCAGAATTTTTATTCAAAATGGAATCAGGGGAGGATGCAGATATCATTCAGGTATAATTCCGTATGTTTTCATGATTTTGAACTCCTCAAGTCTTCAAGTACCTGACTTTATTAATGGCATAAGCAACTAGCAAGGGCATTCAATGTCTTTCCATTTCAGAGAGGGTACGCTTTATAAGGTTCATATCCTACCTAGTGGATCCTATAAGTGCCATTGCATTGTACAGCATAGGACAGGTTTGGCAAGGTGGCGCCTTTCTATATACATGCATTCCTTTCCAACCAAATCTGCCAGGATTTTGAACACCGTAGTGCCACAAAACCCCCCCCCCTGCCAGACACTTTTAAATAAATTGATGTAAGATGCTTTGAAGTCTCAGGGATAAAAATGCCAATGAAAGAAATATAAACTGATCGTTACATGGTAAATCCATAGCCTTGTGGTGAATAGAAAACTGAGATAAAGCATCTCCAATTCACACATATCGTGGGACAGTTTTTTGAGGTTTGCAATCCTGTCACCTGTCATTAATGTTAATCCTGTGTCTATTACGCCTTATTATTGTCTGGGGGATATTTTCCACCTAGTTAGTTAATCTCCCAAAACTACAGGCAAGAGCTGCTACCATCCAACTTGAATGAAATTGGCTTTCTAAAAAGAACTATATTCCTGACATGTCTCATGAGAGGTATTGCATTTTTGGCATTACTTCTGCCATGGTCTTAGTTGTGCTTTGGAATACCTGATTCCATAAAGTGTTGTACCCTAACATGGCCTTCAAAATTCAACTTCCTAGATTGAAGAAAGCTCCTCACAGTTCTCTCAATCCTATGCGTTGGCATATATTATAAGTCTCCTGATGATATTTTAAGGGTCTGCTATTGTTTAGGCAAGTGACTCGCATAATCCTTGGCTGATGCAAATTTTCAACTTTGAGCATAATAATTGCTCATTATTTGACTGTGTATTCAATTTGTTTCATTATTCTTATAGTCTTCTTGCTGAGATGCTCATTCTAGTCTTGTTGTAATAGTTTTCCAAGCTAAACATGTGTATTCATGCTGCTGCTTTTTATAGTTGAATAGTACTGTTTGTTGCCAAAATTGATTTCCTCAAAAGTAGACTGTTTTGACATTGCAGAAGGGACTTGGAGAGCTTATGGAGCAGATTGTTTTTCTCTTGCAACATGTACTTTCAAAAAAGAAACAACTGAAGTTTCCTGTTCTTCTGAGAAAAGAGTTGAAAGAAGCTTTGCGTGCTGCTGGGAGAAATATAACCTTGGCCATGAGACCATCAGCGTACTTTAGCAGCATAATTAAGTTGCTTCGTCATGAAGATAAGGATGTTGCTGAAATGGTAATTTCTTAGACTTGCGTGATGCATTAAAATGTTACCCCTTAGGACCATGTACGATAGATACTTCAAAAAAGTTAATATACCCATATCAGTTACATTTCTGGTATGATACATGTATTGTATCTCATGTTACATGCGATCTATTTTGAAGCTACCAATATCAGTTACATTTCTGATATGATACATGTATTGTATCTCATGTTGCATGCAATATATTTTGAGCTTATATTGACTTCCCCCCTTTGAAATGCTTCAAAATAACTCAAAAACTTAATTTTGTTGTTAATATCACTTTATTGCTTTGGAAATACATATTTAAAACAATTATTTTTATGTTATTCTTTTGTGTGTTAATTTTTTTTTAAATATATGCATAATTATATATGCATGTTTCTTGCGCCCATAGCCTAAAATTTTGAACTTCATCATGTTTAATATATCATATTGTATCGCACTCAATGCGTGTACCCATAATTGCGTAGCTTTAAGAAGTTTTTCCCTAAGTAGTTGGGTAGGCACAGCATATATTTCCTGTTTCTTATGTAATTCATGCAATGATGAACAATGTGAGATGAGGAATGGTTATTCAATAATTACATAATTTGTGTTGCAGGCTCTTGGGCTTTTGTGTGAGACTGCAAGAAATCATAAAGTTGTTAGTTCAAAGAGTAAAGAAAATAAAACTCGATGTTCCAATCCATCTTTTCCTTGGCTTAATATGAACGAGAGTGATCAAAAGTCATTTGATAAGATGTGCTTGGAAATTGTTCGGGTACTTGATGATCCAGCTGAGGGTTCAAGTACATCGATGAAAGTGGCAGCAGTGTCTGCATTAGAAGTTTTGGCCAACAGCTTTCCTTCTAATAATTTAATCTTCGTTCTGTGCCTTAGATCCATTGCAAGATGCATCAGTTGGTGCAACTTGGTTGTGGCCTCTAGTTGCCTTAGAACAACTGCTGCCTTGGTCAATGTTGTAGGTCCAAAGGCTCTAGCAGAGCTTCCTCACTTAATGGAAAATATGATGAGGGTTTCTTCTGAACTGTTCTCTAATTCAGATACAAAACCCCAAAGTATGGAGCCTGTTTCCCCAGTCTCTAAAGACTTGTATTTGTTGTCTGTTCTCATCACTCTGGAGGTAGTTGTGGACAAGCTTGGTGGATTTCTAAACCCTTATCTATCAAGTATAATAGATCTTCTGGTACTTCATCCTGAATATGTTTCTGGAAGGGACACAAAGTTGCAATCTAGAGCTAGTGGACTTCGCAAGCTCCTTGCGGAGAGAATCCCTGTAAGGCTTTGTTATTTTATAGTAACGTATAACATTTGTATGAAATCAACATTTTGGTGTTCTCTTTTTATTTAGAAAGCTTTTATTTTTGATACAGGTTCGACTTGCCCTGCCACCGTTATTAAACGTTTACCCTGCTTCTCTTAATGCTGGGGATAAAAGCTTAGAAATTATGTTTGACATGTTGGCAACCTTGGTTGGTACCATGGACAGGCCATCTATTGTTGCTTTCCATGGAAAGATTTTTGACCTTTGCCTGCTTGCCCTTGATATTCGTCATCAGAGTCCTGTTTCTGTCCATAATGTTGATGCAGTAGAAAGAAGTGTGATCAATGCAATGATTGCTCTGACTATGAAACTCACCGAGAGCATGTTTAAACCTCTATTCATAAAGAGTATTGAGTGGGCAGAATCTGATGTGGGTGAAGCTGCATCTGTGGGTAGTACTGATAGGGCGATATCCTTCTATGGCATGGTAAATAAACTTGCAGAGAGCCATCGGTAAGTCAATATCTGTGTATTTCAGTTGGTATTCTTTTCAAAAGTGCTTCTTTCTTACTAGCTTGATCTCCAGAGACTTTGTTGAGGCATTCTCTCTTGAATTATTGGGTTTGTAATATTTCACTTTTTTAAAGAATAGAACTTTTTTTTTTAATTTAGAGTGAAGCAGTTTTATGTTATGTGTATAAAGGTCCTTGCATATTATACAATCTAATAATAGTGGCTGGCAGTTGAGTTACTACAAACTTAATCTGAAAATGATATTATTATATCCATAATTTGTTTTCAGTGAGAAGTCTTGGCTCATTTGAATTATGCTTATATAAGTAACTTGAGCAAACACGATCATTTTTCTTAAGGTCGTGATTGAAGTTTGCTTCATCATTTCTTCACTGCTGTGCCATGTGTGTAGGTCGTTGTTTGTTCCTTATTTCAAACACTTGCTTGGTAGCTGTGTTCACCATCTTGGCAATGCCGGAGATGTAAAACTTCTGAGTCGAAAGAACAAGAAGGCCAAGACTCAGGATGATGACAGCACAAAGGGAAGCATTGTTTCTATCAAAAGCTGGCATCTTAGGAAGCTAGTCTTGTCGTGTTTACACAAATGTTTTCTCTATGATACTGGATCCACCAAGTTTCTTGACTCTTCAAACTTTCAGGTGAGCCAATTCTTTTACACTGCCACCATTATGCCATATCTTAGTTGTCATGAACTATTGTACATATCTCTGACATTTAAGTATGGATTATTTCTTTAAAATGTTTTGATTAGTTTGCGGTCATATCTTCACAATGCTTCAGGAGCTGAGTTCTGCATCACATGCCTGTCTTGAACTTCCTTTTCCTAGAAGATAAACACTTCATTTGATTCAATTAATGGAGAACTTTGATATTTACAGATTAGAGGAGCACTGAATGATTATGAATATGTAGGGTATAAATGACATTTTACATCCACAAAATCACTGTTTAGTTCCATTCCCTTTTTCATCAAGGGATTCCCAGTGATTAGGATTCTATTCTGTACTTTTGAACTTTCCAAATTATCTTTATTCTTGTTCCTGTTGCTGCCTTGAATGAAGTTCATTCAAAGACTGATCCTCTTTCAATAATGTTCTTGTTTGTACATTCCTTCACCTAAATTATGGTTGTTGCAGATGCTATTGAAACCCATTGTTTCACAACTAGTCATAGAACCACCCGCTTCGTTGGACGACACCCCGAGTGTGCAGGAAGTTGATGACCTACTGGTTGTATGCATTGGACAAATGGCCGTCACCGCTGGAAATGACCTCTTGTGGAAACCCTTGAATCATGAGGTAAATATCTAGATTTTTACTACTGAGGGAGATTTTTCTTTTGGGCATTCCCAGTCATATAGTGGTAAGCTGTAAAAAGTTGTACTACCTCCAGTCCTTAAATAAGATTCAGCTGACTAATTTGGAAGTTAAATAAATTACTTTAAAGTATTCATATTTATTGTTTTTCTCCAAACTAATTTACTCAACTTCTAAACTGATATATAATCTAGTAATACACAAATATTTTAGGGAGATAATGTAACATATAATTAATTTATTTAGCTTCTTTAATCTCTTTAAATGAGTCAATTAGATTTTATATTGAGGACCAGATATAGTATTATCTAAATTTTAGTTTTCATGCATGATCTTTATGTTGGCTCAAAAAAAAAGGGGGTCTTTATCACCTTTTTTCTGCATTCTGAACTCTGGCCAGAATGTATCTTTTGTTTTTAAATCTCTTTTGATGGCTGCGGAGTCTTCAACAGCTAATTCAGAGATCATGCCTTGTTTGTTTCGCAGGTATTGATGCAGACACGGAGTGAGAAACTGCGAGCAAGAATGTTGGGCCTGAGAATAGTTAAATATCTAGTGGAGAATCTGAAAGAAGAGTATCTTGTTTTCTTGGCTGAAACAATCCCCTTCCTTGGAGAATTGCTCGAGGATGTTGAGCCTTGTGTTAAATCTCTTGCCCAGGAAATTCTCAAGGAAATGGAGTCCATGAGTGGGGAAAGTCTTAGGCAATACTTATAATGATGTAAATTAAGGTAGTTAATACGATGATACTGAGAAAATTTTGAGGAAGTTAGAGACGTCTCATTAAATTTGTGATTTAGGTGATTATATTAATAGAAATGTTCTTTTTTGTCAATGAAAGCTTTTATATTTCCCTCCTTGGTAGCTAAAAGGCTAGCATATAATTAGTAAAAGACCAGCCTTTTAAAACACTAAATTAATGCCACAATTAGGTATCTAACTAACTAGGCTTGTTACAATTTCCTTTAATATAATCATGAAAGTTGTTTCTTTTTATTATTTGCATCGTTTGGTCAGTGTAAGCATATTGATTTATTAATAATCAGATTAAACTCATGAATTTAATGATTATCTGGTAGCTAAGACTGAGTTGTTCAGTTTTAGTGGTATCAGTGGTAAAATTAGTCATTATTTTTATGTATCTTGAAAAAAATTGAAGTAAAATTCTGGCAGACAACGTACTGATTAATCATAACTTTTTTGGAACTTGATTTGCCCGGTCCAACTCGCAGCAGCTTGGATAGAACTAGTCTACCCAACGCGGGTCAGACTGAGTTTAGGGCTGATACTTTAGTCCATTGGGTCTAGCCTCGTCCAAGTATGATTTTTTTTTTTTAAAAAACTGTAATTATTTAATTAATTTACTGTGTCCTAGTTATATAATCCCTTTCAACAGTCTCATTCTCTTATTGTCTTGCACTCGGTCGTCTCTTTCTCTCTTAACACTCGTTGTAGGTCCTTTTATTAATTTATATATATTTAATTATTTAATTATTTAATTAATTTATTGTATTTTATATTGATTGAGCATTGGAGCTTCTTTTATTATCAAAATTTACTTCTTTGATAAGTGAAACATCTATATTTTACAACATTAATTTGAGTTTTTTTTTTTGGGTGACAAATGTATATGCGCACACAACCCTCCCATCCACAAGTTTTTAGTCCTGTCATTTTTCATACATACCAGCTGCGAACTGGCAGTTACATTGGTCCAGTATGTTCTTTGTGAAGCCCTGCAAGTGCTTTTTGTTTAGCTTCTTTTTTTTTTGGAAAAGGAAACTTAAGAAGTCAATGCTAAGAGAGGCAAAGCGGTGGCTGAAGAAGAATTAGGCGCCAAAAATTAAGCTAATAAAGTAAATTGTTGAATTGGGCAAATCTCCTCAAGCTTATCAACTACAGCTTTGCACCTTCAAAAAGTTTATGATACTAGATGCATTTTGAGTCGTACTTTAAAAATGGTGGGCCTCACAATATTTGTTATGAAAGTCCTAGAATACCCCCAACTCAAAAAAAATCAAACTCAAAAAACATTAGTCAATCTCAGTAATATCGAACTCAGGCCAAGATGAAGAAAAGATTGTAAGGTGAAAAGGCAGCCAAGTTATAATGATAAAAAATTTAAGTCATGGAGAAAAGATAATTATCTTGTAATATTCCAAGGATGAAATAATTTCAAATTAGCAAAACACCGATCACCCATATCTTATTGAAAATTAGAATTAAAAGAGTTAGAATTGAAATCCAAGATAACGTTGTTGATGATGATTTGGGCGTGGGTTTGAATGAGTTGAGAGAGAGAGCAGAAGAGGCAAAGGAAGAGGTTTTGATTGCTTGGAGACTAAGAGAAGTCACCTCCTTCTTGTTCCTCATCTTTTGGATATGGAATATCTGAAATCACGGTAGACAATGATGACAGATTCACAAGGCCAAGGAAGAAGATCTGACTACCAAGAGATGAAGAGAAGCAGCCTCCATCTTCTTCCTTGTCTTTCGAATTTGGAAGATGGTGCAAGAGCTCTCAGATTCACAAGGCCAAGGAAGAAGATCTGACTACCCAGAGATGAAGAGAAGCAGCCTCCATCTTCTTCCTTGTCTTTCAAATTTGGAAGATGATGCAAGAACAAGTTGAATGATAGCGCCCTCATTTCTCGAGCTCTTGTTCATTCTAGTACCCCCATCATTCTCTCCCCCATCTCTCCTTCTCAATCGAAGAGACGGATGAACAAAAAGAGAAAGCAACATGATGATCAACTTATCACCTTCCTACTCACTCTCGGCTCTTGCTCTCCACTCTAGAAGAATAGAAACTGAACCTCACAGACAGATGGCGAAACAGTGGCTCGGATTTGAGAGGTTGGGAGGGAGAGGGAATCTTTTTTTTTATTTTGAGTTGGGAATGCTTTGCGTTTTTCATAACAATATTGTGAGCCCTACCACAAAAAGTAACGGCAATTGTGCTATTTTAGTGTGGTGTCATTTTACCACCATTTTGAACTTTTATAGCTTACTTTTGCACATCAGAAAATGTTATGGGTGCACTTTTGATAAAAGTTTGAGTATTTTTGCACATGTACCCTAATTTTAATATTAATTTACCCATACCTATAATTTTTGCTGCATTTGCAAGAGTCAAGAAATAAGCAGAAAGCCCCAAAAAGCCACGAATGAAGAATCTAGCTTTCTTTAAACCAACCTATTGCATTTTTCCGATAAGGAAAAACTCGACGAAGAGATGGAAAGAGGGTTGAGGAAGATATCGACAGCAAATGGAAAGTGAAAATGAAGTCGAGAATGGGTATCTTGCAAAGATTTTGTCATCAGTGTTAGATCTTGTCCTTACACTGCTCAAATATCTAATTCCCATGAATCATTCTCCCCCCTTAGATCTTCTTACTCTAACTTGCTTTAGAGAATAACAAGCAGTGCATGGTTTGTCTTCACCTCTCACCCTGAAATTGACCCAAAATGCAATATCCTATTTTTAATTGCAAGGATTAATGTGATTAAGTCTTGATTTGCGTGGGATCGAAGACTAATGCTATTGCTTGAGGTTGCAAGATTGTCATTGAGATTAGATCTTGTCCTTGCACTGTTCACCAAATCTCTCTGATACCCATGAATCATTCTCCCTCTTTAGATCTTCTTATTCTGGCTTGATTTAAGCAGCGCATGGTCATTATTCACCCTCAGCCTTGAAGTTGACCCAAAGTGTAATATCTTGATTTTTAATTTTAAGGATGAATGTGATTAAGCCTTGATTTGTGCAGGATCAAAGATTAATGTTGTTGATTGAGGTTGAATGAGGGTTAGAAATATTAAGGATGCCAATTTGAAGTCATATCATTAGACTACTTTTAGTAGTCTTGGGATTTGGGAATTTTTTTAGGATCAATGACAATATTTTTCGGTGATTCTTCTTCTTTGGAAAAATAGACACCTCATTCTTTTTCAAAGAATCCTGATTTAATGAATTTTGGGAATGTGTGGAGTTAATTTTGAATTTTTATAGTTAGAGCCCTTGTTATTTCTAATTTTTTTAGCATCCTTGGTAAGCTATTGCCTGCAAAAAACCGTTCTTTTGGCCATGATGGAGGTTGTAAAATTTGTATATTATATGCAATTTTAAGTTGAAAACATAAGCTTAGAAGAAGGAAGGGTCCATGGTGGGTCATCTTGGCTCAAATAGGGCTTATGAATTTTGACCTACTTTTTGAGTTTCCAAATATCAAAGTAAATATTTCTAACTTGATTTCTCTCATTTTTAGCCAGATTTTTCAGATTTTGGGAATCTAGGGTTCTTGGAATTTCAAAATTACTGATGACTTCACCCGACATTTGGGGTTGAAATGAATTATATATACTAAATTAAGCGTTTAATCGATTTACTTTTATTGGATTTCAAGTTTTTATCATATTCACAGTTAGAGTTTGTTGTTATAAGAGGGGTTTTGTTGGAAAATAATAATGTGATGGTTTAATATGGATTCAGTTATGATTATATGCGTTAGATTAGAAATTAACTAGTTTAGATTGTTGATTGGACTTGAAAATTAAGTTTGGGTGTGTTTGAGGTTTGACTCATAAATTGTAAATTGAGAATTGGCTTGTATGGATGTTATTGAGATTGGTGATTTATTCAAATGAGTTGTTTGGGTTAAGGAGAATTTGAAGAATGCTTTTTGAATGAGAATTTGTGTGCTTGGGAGGAATTGAGGATTTTGGTTGACTCGATATTATAAAGTATAATGTTGGGGGACTTTCTGTTTTGTAATTAATTGATGGTTGTTGCTTTTATTAATGTGTATCTACATTGTTGAGTAAATTAAGATCGAGTTAATTCTTTTTTCTCTAAAAAAACTGATTACTATGTGAGTAATCAGCTGTATTTCTTCCCTCTTCATTTTAATTACTAGCAACCCAAATGCTTGGGAATGTTTTGCTGTGCAATGTTGGATTTGTTGTGTATTATCTGTTCACAAATCTCTTTATTGTCACATCCAGTAATATGGCAATTAGGGATAAAGAATATTCCTCAGCAGTTAAAGGCCAAAAGGATGAGGAGAAATAGAAGAATTTTTAATGAAAAATAATTATTATGATTTTCCAAGTTATGTGAAAGTTTGACTAATTAAGAAAAATTGGTTAAAGATAATCGTGAAAAAATATTTCCAAGCTTCACAAAATTAAGAAAAAATTAAGGATAATATTTCTTGAGAAGTATACGAGGTTATATAATTGATTGTATGACCAAATTACCCTTGAAAAAATTATAAAGGAATTTAAGGATAATTTAGGCTAATTTAAGGGCTTTTATTTGGAAAGTTCCAAATAAATGTATTTAAGGCAAGAACAATTTCAAGAAAATTTCTATGATACCCCAAGAAATTATAAGAGATATTGGGATTAAAAAGAGTCTCTCAAATATCTAAGATTTTTCCCAATTCCTTGGAAAAGTGGAAAAATCACTAAAGAGAAGGAAATTAGTTTTTCTTTTTATTTAATTATTGGAAAATTGATTATGAGATAAAGAGGGCAATTTGGGAAGATAAAAATGAAGCAATTAAATTATGGATCTGACAAAATAATTACAAAGGCCAGAGTACTATAATTATAGAAAAGGGATTAAACCTGGAATAAAAGTGTACCGATAAAGTGAAGACTAGATTCTTGGACTTTAAATGACTCACATTTTGCCATGTGTCAAGCCTCCAATAGAGAGAATTTGAAATTGCCAAGTGTTACACCTGAAGTGGAGAGGGTTTTGACTTTTGGTAATTAATTTCTTTTGGAATCAGTTAATTAAGAAAGAGAAAGCAAGAGGAAGAGGGGGATTGACACTTGTAACTTCCATTAACGTGGTA